GCGGCGCGGCCCGAGGCTCTGCGCCGTGCTCCCGGGCCGGCTGAGGCCGGACTGCTCCGCGACGCCTGCTCCCTTCTTGCCGGGCCGGGACCTAGCGGATCGCGCCGGGCTCCTGCTGCCGCCGCCGCCGCTGCCTCTCCGTGCCATGGATGGAGGCAGCTCCTGCGCGGCGCCGCTCCCGCCGCCGCCGGCCCCCGCCCGCCCTCCGCGGAGGGCGCCCTCCCCTCGCCGGCTCGCCCGTCCGCGAGGCCCTAGCGCCTCCCGACACGCAGCCAGGCCGCTGCCCTCCTGGGAGCGAGAGCGGGCCGGGCGGCCTGAGGCCCCGTTTGTCCCGCGAGCCCGCCCTGAACCTAGACTTTCTCCCTCCCGCCCCTCTTCTCCGGGCCGGGACTCTTCCTCTCCACACCCCGTCTCGGACCTCAGAGTCAACCACCATCACTTTCCACAAAACCCTCCCTGGCTCAAGCTCATCCAGCCCGCGCCCCCGTGTTCTGGGTCTTTCATTGCCCTGCGGGTTTGGCCGGAGATACCTGGTGCTGCCTGTTTGGGATTGTGATTGAACTTCGTTCACCGTCCTGGGGTCGCTGAGACTCAGCTTCGCTTGGCTCCTGACCTGATGGGCTAGTCTGGAAGGCGGCTCTCCCTCCCACAGACCTAGGAGTCTCAGACCCTCCTCTGACGCCGGTGACCTCACGCAGCGGGGGGTGCTTGTCACTCAGCCAAGGAGGGGTCAAAGGCCAAGGCAACAGGCTAGATCTGGCCTCTTATGTGTGTGCGCGTGTGCGTGTGGGGTGGGGGCACGCGTGTGTGTTTGGGAGGCAGTGGGAATGAGGGAAATGGGAAGAGAAAAAGCAGGGAACCTACCAGGGTGTGGAAAGAGCACTGCACTGTGAGTCAGGAGAGCCTCATTCTAGACAGCTCTATTTGACTTTGAACACAGCCTCTAATATCCTGGAGTATCTCTAGTCTCTGGGGTCAGAATGGGGCTCTGCCTGCCCCCTAGTTTATGAATGTCAGCTGTGGCATTTGAATGAGTGAGTGAGAGAGGGGCACTCAGTTTCCATAGGCAGAGGGCTGGGGGCTTTGGGGGTAGTGTCTGACCTTGACAACTGGGGATGGAAATGAAAGTTTGACCGAGGGTCTTAGATGCGCTGTAACGCAAGCTGGGAACGGGGCTGGGATCCGAGGGCAAAGGGAAGTGTGGTCCAGTGTGTCTGCTCCCTCAGTTTCTCCACAAAGTGGCCGTACCTGCCACTTAATAGACCCTTTGCTGCTGAGGAGCAGGCTGCCTGGGTTGGGGGATCCATGGGCAGGAGTCCTGTTCCTCATCTTTTACTGTGTCACCTAAGAAGGTCGCCATCTGCCGCCTTCCTTCTGTGCTCTGGGCCTTGTTGGTGTGTGTGGCACCTTTTCCAGCACTGTGGCCTTTCATCCAGTCTCCCACCTCTCTTTGCGGGGAAGCGCCTTCTCTTCCTGGCCCCCAGTGGCAGACACTGGGCCCAGACACTGGCTTCTTCACTTTCCCTCTCTGGCTCCACCAGTCTCTCCAGGCCGCAGGCTCTGGTTCCTTCAACTTCCAAAGATAAATAAATACTGACTGCAAATGGAGTAAGAGAGAAGGGGCACCGACTCCCCAGCAGGAGCCCTCCACGGGGCGGCAGGCAGGCTGAGACCGCATTCCTTTGGAAGGGTCGAGATAGAGCCACGGCCACAGGCACGGTCTGCCATTCAACTCTCCTGCTCCCAGGCAAGGAAGACTTCTCAGAGAGGAGGAGGAGAGGGCTCTGGCCTGGGTCACACGGCTTCTTTTGTCAATTCCTTTTGCTAAACGAAGACAGCAGAAGTCTGGACGGGAGTTGCGCTGTGACATGAACTCTCTGAGGCTGTACAGAGGCCACATGACATTTAATGAGGCAGAGCTTCCCCACAGGTGGGACCGAGGTGCCTCACGGGGACATTTATAAAATGCTGTCCTGTCCTGCTTGGCATCACGTTTGACTTCCATACCTGCCCAGAGGAGGTGAATGGGGGCAGGAGTCACTTTCCCATTTTACAAGTGTGGATGAGGAAACTGAGTCACGAGCAGTAAACGGCCAGGCCTGGGAAGTTACCCTCTGACTGCTTTTCAGGTGCTCTTTCCTCTGAACCGCTCAAAGCTTTTCCCACACGATGCTTCCTGGTTTAGCTGTTCTCAGAGGTGCAGGGTGGGATGAATGAGTGGCCTACATGAAAATCTTTTTGTTTCAAAGTTTGTTTGGGACAGAAGGAGAACTCACACTTAGTCCCAATCTCCAGAAGTCTGGCTAGGGAGTTTGGCCAATTCAATACACCCGGATGGTGTGATGAACTCTTTAATGGGATAGGGATAAGGTACCATGATAATAGAGAGGAGGCTGAATTGATCCTACCGAAGCAAGAGAGACAGGGAGCTTACCAAAAGTTTTAGTCCCATTTAGGGGAGACATGTAACCCACCTGACTCTACTAAACCATAATTATTCCCTAAGGGTCTGGGGCTCACATCTCCTCTGTCACTCTCAAAAGAAGTTTGCCTTTGCTAGGTTCTAGCTGCTAGCCAACCTCTCTGTGTCCCCAGCTTCGATGCTGATCCAGTCCTCCTTGTCAAGGGGTAGCTGGGGCCTCTTGACATGGGTCACCTCACGGGAGACCAGCCCCTCCATTTGGAGCAGCAGTGAGTGGAAGATGGGGTGACGGTCAGTGTCCCCTCCATCAGAGACTGGAGCAGACCAGAGCCACCACGGGGGGACCTGCACAGAAGGACACCTAACATCTCCTGAGTGCTTATTATGTGCCAGGCACTTGTTGACTACATTAAAAAATTTTTTTTAAATGTTTATTTATTTTTTTTGAGAGAGAGAGACAAACAAAGTGTGAGCAGGGGAGGGCAGAGAGAGAGAGGGGGGACACAGAATCCAAAGTAGGCTCCAGTCTCTGAGGTGTCAGCACAAAGCCCAATGTGGGGCTTGAACTCACAAGCTGTGAGATCGTGACCTGAGCCGCAGTCAGACACTTAACTGACTGAGCCACCCAGGTGCCCTGCTTGTTGACTACATTTTACAAGAATTAGCTCCTTTAGGCCTCCCAACACGGTAAGGATGTTTTAGCAGAGAACTGAGGCGTGAAGAGGCACCTTAATAGTCCAAAGGATACAAGCTAGTAAGTGATAGAAATAGGGTTTGAACCCAGGCACTCTGGGCTCCAGAGTCCAAATTTTAAACCACCATGGTCTATAATTTCTGGAGAGGAGAAAGGCTCTCAACAGTTCCCCCCACATTTTACTTCCTGTGAGGCTTTCTCATTTTTTTTCAATTGTTTTCTTTTTTTTTTTTTTTAATATGAAATTTATCATCAAGAGGTTTTCTCATTTTGATTCCCTGGCCCTTTCAGAGCTGAACCTCTGTGGATGTCCACTCCCACACCATAGCTGGTAGTGGACCCAGGACTCCTATTCTAACAGAGTCAGGGAAGGGAGAAACTGTCCAAAGCGGTCTCCCTGCTCAGCTAGAAGAGAGTTAGAGGTGAATAAAGACGGTAACACGTGTAGACTCTGAGCCGGCAGGAGCTAGGGTTCCCAGCTCCATGTGCTACTCTGTCCTCACCTCTATTGTGTGGGGACCCCCTCCTGGATGTTCACCTTTGAATTCTTAGGTTTTCTAACTCCCTCTGTGCCTTGTGGCCTTTAGCGGCAGGATCCCAACACAGACCCAGGACGACACTACATGAGATAGTGGCCCATAATTGGGTCGATATGTCACGTTTCTCCAGGGCTCCACTAGCTTAGACAGACGAAATGAAGGCACAGAGCCCGTGACACCCCCATTCTCCCACCTCCCTCCCAGGAGGGCTGTGCCAGGCAGTCCTCTGGGCTCTCTGTCCCTCTTCCCTGTCCTGTACCTTCCTCTGGGGACTGGGCTGAGCTGCCTGTCCTGATGGAACATTCACACCGAGTATTTGTGAGACGGAAATGCTCGTGCCCCAACCAGAAGGAATGGATAAGACTTGGGAGAAGCCACCCAGATAGATACTTGGGCCTGCAAGGGCTTCCCATTGGTGATCAGATGTTACCGCGCATTAGGGACCTGTGTATGATTTCGGTACTCCTGCAGGAAGTGGTCATGATCTCTGTCTCTATTCAGATTGGACTCACCCTTTAAAGTAAAATCTACTCGCCTTCTCTCAGATGATGGACTGGCTCCTGCATTTTGAGAACAGTGGCTAAGAGCATGGGCTCTGCAGCTGGATTCAAATCCTGGCTCTCTGTTTTATGGCTCATGTGACTTTGGGCAAATCACTTAATTTACCTAGGCCTCAGTTTTCCCATCTGTGAAATGGGGGATAAACAATAGTGTCCCCCTCATCATTGTAATGATGATGTCAGTTGTGTATAAATGATGCCCCTGTGGTATAATCCAAAAATATACTTCGTCCTGGCTTCTGACCCAGAACCCCTCAAACCCTTGGCATTTCCTCAGGGATAGGAGTGTCTTTCCTTATTCATAAGGAGCCTCTTGGATCACACCTGAATTTCTGCTAATGCTGACTGAGGGTGGGAATCTGAGGTAGCCTCCTGAGAGAAGGCTGTCTCCCGAGAGAACTAGTGGTTAGAGGGTTGGAAATTTCAGTGTCACCGGCCTCTGCCTCTGGGAAAGGGGTAGGGGTGCTGGAGATTGAGGTCTATAAAGACTCCAACAATGAGGGGCGCCTGGGTGGCTCAGTCAGTTAAGGGGTCTGACCTCAGCTCAGGTCATGATCTCACAGTTCATGAGTTCAAGCCCCACATCAGGCTCTGCGCTGGTGGCGCAGAGCCTGCTTGGGATTCTCTCTCTCTCTGTCTCTCTCTCTCTTTCTTTCTCTCCCTCCATCCTTTTCCCACTGGCACTCTCTCTCTGTCTCAAAATAAATACATAAACTTAAAAAAAAAAAAAAAAAAACGCCAACAATGAGATTCATGCTTCCAGGTTGGTGAACACAGCAAGGTGCTGGGAGGGCCACACACCTGGGGAGGGCAAGGGAACTTTGCCTCCTCTCCCCGTACCTTGTCCTATGCATCTCTTCCATTTGGCTGTTCCCGAGTTGCATCCTTAAAAATAAGCCAGCAAAGGTAAGTAAAGTGTCTCCCCGAGTCCTGTGAGCCATCCCAGCAAGTTACCGAAACTGAACAAGAGGTCATGGGAAGCTCCGATTTACAGCCAGTCAGTCGGAAGTATGGGTGGCCCAAGACTCCCAACTGACATCTGAAGTGGGGAGACTGAGCCCTCACCCTGTGGGGTTTGCACTGTTTCTATGACCGGAGAGTCGATGGATGTCAGAGAACACCCAGCCTGGCACCCCCAAGTGCTCAGTAAATGTTAGCTATCCTCCTTCCCTTGGGCCTCCTGCTGTTTCCCTAACTGGTCGTGTTGAAAAAGAAACACCAGAGCCACGATGGAGTCACTTGTGCTAAGCCCCACATCAGCAAACCAAGACTTAATACCCAGCCTGATTTCTGTTTCAGGCCTCTCAGGAATCTGACCTTTGACCAGTAAATCTGGCATAACCTTGTCAGTGCTAGTGAGGTAGCCTGTGTGAAAGACCCCAGCTTTTTCCCAAAGGAAGGAGACCTCCAGGCTTCGCCAGAAACTTCCTTTTTCCCACTCCCTTCTGCCCATAAGCCCCTTCAATTTTGTGCAGCTTCGAGGAGCCCCGGTCCGCTTGCTGGATGGGGCGCTGCCCGGTTCATGAGTCATTGAACACATTTATTCAGTTGAATTGCATTTCTAAACGGTACCTACTCAGTTCTGTCCTCTCTTACAGTTCACCGTTTACATATTTGACTCTTCCATTAGAATGGAGGGCCCCAGCAGAGGGAATTCTTTCATTTCTAGGATTTCCAGCCTGTTTTTGTGCCCAACAGATAGAAGAGACATTTATTTCATTCGTTCGACAAAGCGTGACAGAAGTCTTAGTCATTTATTTAAGCAACGCGTATGGAGTGGCCACTGTATGCCAGATACTGTTTCTGGCACTGAAGATACAGCAGCAAACCCAAAGAAAGTCTGTGGCCTGGTGACACTAACATCATAGCAGAGGGGACAGATAACATGTAAATAACAAGTAAATAGGTGTAACCTAATAGATGGGGGTCAGATGAGGCAGCATAAGGAAATCAGGAATGATGAGGAAGACCCCTCCGACAAGGTGACCTCTGAGCAGAGTTCAGAAGGAACGGGGGGACAGGTCGCGTGGATTTGGGGGGACAGAGCGTTCCATGCACAGGGAACAGCAAGTGGCAGCAAGGTGGGAGGGCACTCCCCGTGCTCAGTCACGGAAGAGTTGGGGATCAGTGTATTTGAAGCAGCCT